CACAGCAAAGGGGGCTGTTTTAAAGAATCTAAAATATAAAACATGTTTTGGGTTATTTCACACTTTTTCGTTTCAATCGAGAGAATCTACAAAGTAAATAATCATGAAAATAAAGAAAAACCATTAAATGAAAATCTGTGTCCACACTTTGGTCAGAAGAGAGAGCTGCGTCTGGGCAATCAGCTGATCCACCTACTGTTGCCTCAACATAAATGGTCTCAGCGGAAGAGACCGTCTCTTCTCTCCCGCCATCTCTCAGGGTTACAGTACAGTAGCCCTGAGAGAGACACAGGAAACGGGGAGAAAAGGCCGAGGTGCGCCACATGACACGAGGCACTAAAAAAACTGGCTTATCGAGTAATAATCCAAATGTAAAAGTTACGTTTCAGATCACCACCAAAATATACAGAAGAGGTCAAACAAAACAACGGGTGACAGAAAATCTGTTAGAAGATTGCAGGTAAGACTCAGGTAATAGTTTGATGTTAACATGCAAATGGACAGTCAGAGTAAAACGAGATGATCAGAAGGCGAGAAGAGCTCAGTGAGTTCAGGGAAATACTGAAAATGGTGAAGTAGCTCCCTCTTGTGGTTGCAACCTTTACACATTTTCTGAAAATCCGATGGTAAAAACACTGCAGCTGAGACCAGAGGCTGCAGGGGCGAGTGGCCGTCAGGGAAACGTGCAAACAGGCCCTGCTGCCTACAGGAAAAACCTCTGTGTAATAATCACTGCAGGAATCGACACATGCCAAAGACGTCAGCCGCTTCACAATCTCTGCATCACTCGCTGCGAGCTTTTTGAAACCAGCATGAAATCCAACCTTTAACTCTGACATTATGTCATTGGAGATGTTCTCACGTGCCTTTTCACACAAAAGCAGGCATTTACTAGCATGGAAGGGTCCAAACATGCTACCGTTGTTATTCTCAGTAGTTCTAGCATACGTGACCGTTTTAACATCCTTGTTATCAAGAGAGATCCTACTATGTGTTCTGCTCTTATTGTGAGACACAGACCCCTGCCAGGCTCAACGCTGGAGTTCATTAAATACCTGACAGCCTCAGCCACGTTGTTAGAGGTGTGTCCTGACAGGGCGTCGTGAAGGTTTCTGATGAAGTAGTCTCTGTAGTCCTCAGGCAGAGCCATGAAGGTCCCGCCCATTACGATGAACTCCACTTTGTCGACGCTGTGGCCCAGCTGCTTCAGCTGCAAATCACACCCGAGGGTTGGGTACCATTAAAGCAATGGACTTATCTGCATCTTCAGCTAAGTGCAGCAATGCACCATTATTCAGCAGAACGATCATTTTGTTCCCTCAAAAAATTAACTGTAATTAAACTTTAAACAGCTAGTGCACATAAACCGGACCCCCCACAGGCAAAGCTCCATGGAAAAAACAAAAACTGTGTCCAGTTTAAAAAAAGATCCACATGAACTGTTCCAATGACTGACTTTGCTCTGCTGCGAAGCACTAATGGGCCCATAAATTTAAATAATGGCATAATTAGGGTCAGTGAAAGCCTCGACACTCATTACAGCACCTAAATATATTATCACCGGCTGATTTGTGGAAATCGAAACACCTGATTAAGGTGCTTCCTGCTTCTGTAATTTCAGGAAAAGCCAAAATAACACGAATAATCAAAACAATGTCAATTTTTAAAAAGTACACCGTAGAAAATCACCGACCTGCTCCACTCGATGTCTGGTCTGCAGGTAGGGGTCGTAACGAGCTCGGATGGCTCTCATGGAAGTCGGCTGTCAGAAAGAAGGGGAGAAGCAGGAAGGACGTTTAACGTTTGCTTACATACAAAAGACAGACATGTGTTCCACAGGGTTCTGTGCTAAGAACCTTACAAACCCGTTTTATGGTTTAAATTAAAAAACATGGCTCAAAGTATCAATGCACAAAATATACAAACTTGTGTATGTGGATGGCATCACTGTGGCCTCCAGTAACACTGTGAGGAACCTGGGAGTCATTTCTGAACAGAGCGTGTCCATTGAGCTGAATGTTAAACCGTTTCGGAGGAATGCTCTTGTTCACCTGCACAATATCTCTGCAAACATCCTGCCTCATGCTGAAGGACCACTTCATGTAACTGTTACTTCTAGGCTGAATTACTGTAGTTATTATAACGGATTTATACCTCTGGGTTCTTCACTGTAGGGAAGTCACAAACAAAGACAATTCTCAAACACGACATCATAACGTGATGTGAACTTCCCTAGAAATGTAGCTACACGTGTGTGTCGAGGCACATGCGTATAAATGCTGGTCTCTACACAAACACAGCGAGAGCACTGCCACGATTCGATTTTGTCCGTAGCTTTTCTAAACCGGCTCCAGGATAAATCCAGAATTCATTTTTAAGTCTTTGTCCTCACAAAGTCCTGGATGATCAGGCAGTAAAGACCTCGCAATAACATTTTATTCTGACGAGCACGTTGCTCTCTGACTGCTTATTTGTGGATTTGAGAGTTTCTGAAAGTAGAATGGGACGCAGAGGCTGCTGTGGAAACAGCTCCCAGTTTGGGTTGTGGAGACAACTTATTTACTTTATCAGGCTTCAAACCTTCCGAGCAGGCATACACAGTAGATGAAAATCAAGGTGCTTCACCTCGTAGCCAGTGTAAGACTGTGTGGAGTACTCAAAGTCAGAGTCCGGTCCCCCGGGACAGTAGCTGCCAGAGTGAAAACAAAAAACTGATTATTAATAAACTCCTGTCAGCACTTCAAGCTCAAACATGTCAAAGCTTTTACATCTACCTGGCTTTAGGGTTTGTTCTGTGTATGACCACTAAATATACTTACACAGCACTGATACTGCTCATGCTGAAGCAGCTCAAAGATGAAATATGTCCTCACAGATTTTCTCTCATCAAAAAGCAAAACTTACACACAGATGTTGCCTGTAAAGCTGATGTGAGGACATCGATGAGGTTTACACATCACAGCTACGACTGCAATCTGCAGTAAAAACACAAGTTATTAAATCTGCTCCCATTTTGGGGGTTAGGTATTGTGAGAGATATAATTTCCATATAGTCTGAACGTTCATGCATTTCCAATCTTCACTGTCCATCTAAAGCTGAGCTGAAGGATTAAACCCCATCAGTGTTGTATGCTGTACTCATCCTATACCAAACATAAACACACACACATCTGCTAACATGTGACTCCAAACTATTACTCAACAAGCCACTTAGTGCATTTTATTTCAGCCTTACTGAACCTTAACCTGAAATATCAGACTGCAGGACAGAGATATGGACGGCAGAATAAACACAACGTACCCCGCTGGCAGTGCGGATAGGTTTGGCCTTTAGTTTGGGCACCAGCGCTCGACGGTACTGCGGTGGAACAGCTGCGATGATATCCACCAGTCGGGGCTGAGCTTCAAGTCCATATTTAGCTGAGGCCTGAGTCTTAACTCTGTTTGAAAACACAAAATGCAACTCGCTTAAAACTCACCTAGAACTGAAAATTGTACAAAAAACAAATTAAAATTGTTCTTTAATGCAAACTTATTTTGGTTTTATGGCACAAAAAGCTTTTTTAAAAAGTTGGAACAGGCGCATGTTTCCCACTGAGGAGATCAACGGCTCTGGTGTTGACAGGAAGAGGTTTCTCGTTGTTCCTCGATGTGTTTTCAGCTGCTCCTTTGTCATATTAATTATTCAATAATGTGCTAATGTCTTTTGCACATTGTGGTCTAGCGTTGTCTTGCTTGACATCTGGATGACAGCATTGATTCCTTCAAAACCTCCATAAATCGTTGGAGGTTTTGGAGCCCTTCAATGCATTGAGGGGCTCTTCACAGATGTACAAGTCACCCATGCCAAGTGCACTAAGGCACACACACCAGATGTTTGGTTGTGAAGTTTGCATGAATAACAACAACATCATTGGCCCAGACTACAGGACTGCAGCACTTAGATGACCACAGGCCCAGAGAAAGACCCACGTCTTAAACATAAGGGGGGGGGGGGAGATCTACCATCTATACTAGATTCTTAATTATTGTAATATGCAGCCTATGTAATCTACACAGTAATCACATGACTGTTTCCTGCAGCTGATACCAATTTCTAATCTTTTGTGAGATGGAGGGTAGACAGTTAGTGGGACCAGTTCATTGCTGTTTTGGTTACAGACTATTGTTGCACACGCTGTATGTCTACTGTATCGCTGATTACTTACTTGTTAAGATTGATGTCTTTTCCCTTCTCGTGGGCTTCAACCAGCTGCTTGATGACATCGGCAATGGTCATCATCATCAGCTCGGCTCGGCTCAGGTCACCTGACCAAGAGCAGCATAGTGAGATTACTGTCATTACAGTGAGAAGATTTATTCGCAGGTTATTTAAACAGCTTTATAATGTGCAGGAGTCCAAATTGTCGAATGCAGCTTTACGGAGTGAATCACAGTCCAATATGCGGTGTAACGGATCTCTATGAAAACGAGAAAAGTTGCTGAACTCTTCTGTGCCGAGTTATGCAGCTTCTGTCATCATCTTATGGGACCTGCCGTTAGCATTAGCTTTAAGCTACAATCACCCTCAGCACTTTAGAAAGCAGTTTGCGATGTTTTAAACGCTTTGCCACACACTCACTCTTTTTCTTTGGCTTCCCCATTTCCTTCGTTAGTCACCTAGTCCAATTATTTACGAAAGGAGGTCTGTTAAAAGTGCTTCATCTGTCTTTAAAGCCCGACAGCACTCTGGGGTAACAGTAAACAACTCCACGTTGCGACCGAACACGGCACCTGTCGTGCGGGGATAGCGGCTGTCGCAAAATAACGTAAACACACTTTCGCAGTGTTTAACCTGTCATTTATTGACGCGTAAATCTGTTCATGAGTAAAACAACGCCAGGTTTGGCTTATTTAACAGCGAGTAGGGCTGTTTCGCTAAAACATCCCAACATGTGCCGAATAAGCGCAGCTGGAAGGAGACGCGCAGACTCTACGACAGGTGCGACCACAGCGCGGCGCTCCATTCCGTCTCATAGCGACGGTCCGCGTGTGCGCGGAGCAGCTGACGGACTTGGAAGCTCTCTGACTTAAGTCTCGCAGCAAATCCCTTTAGCCGCGAGCTGACATGGCTTGACTGATTCCTGCGGGAAGTCTTCAGGAAATGCAACAGGTGGAGGAGCTGTGGTTGTGAACCCTGGACCATCGTAAGTGTTTCTTAGACCTTAACGGGGCTTTCCACGGTGCTGTGTACTAGTGCCGGTTACTTTTGTCGGCGGTAAATGTGGAAGTATTTAATCCTGTGTGCTGCTGTCATGCAGCCCTCATTAGCGTGTCCGGCTAGCTGCTGTGTGTCACTACTTGAAGGTGCCTGAGAGGAGAGGAGGGAGTCGGACGGGCAAACCACTGCACGGTTAGTTTGCTACTCTGAACTATGGAGGGTTTATTTCTTTTCTTTGCCTTGTTATCTTCTCACGGCAGACTTCACCAGTCACTGACTGGAGTCAAAGTGATTTCGAAAATGAACGCAGTTTAATCGCTGTGTTCAGGTGTCACTCGGATAAATAAGTGTTATCTCACAATGTGTGATATTACGTACACGCCAAGTCATTTCACGGGTGTTTTGGGGTTTGTTTGTTTTTTAATTCGACGCAGGTCAGGTGCCACCATGGATGACAACAGTGTCAGTGACTCCAATGTAAAGGTGGCTGTTCGTGTGCGGCCAATGAACAGGAGAGGTGAGTACAAACGGCTGCACTCGCTGGTTTCAGTGAAGCCTTTTAAAGGCAACCGTCCACCTTCAAAGGGAAGTATCGGCCCTGCACTTCACCCATATCTGAGTCCGTGTTTGCTCTCGTTCAACTTTTGGTAAACAGTAAGGCTCGGTGCAGGGTTCGGTTTCTCCTCAAGCTCTGAAGTATACACGCACTTCTTATGTCTTTAAATTTAAGCTTCAAATATGGCAGAGACGTGTTTTGTGCACTGTCACTGGCCTGTTACTTCTGACAACAGCTGAGCTGGACTGGAGTGTCAGCTAACTGCAGCAGCAACCTTTGAACTTTTAAGTGTAGCTATCACTTTCTGATTAAGACCCTCAAATGAAAGCTGATAAAGTATTTTAAAAGATAAAATACAACCTTGTGACTCATATGCCCTAACACCTACTCTGACAGGAAGTTGCTGCTCTGTCTCCGCCTTAAAATCCTTCCAGTGCAGGTAGGAATGAGGAAGAGAAGGTGTGAGCCTGGTTTTCCTTAGTGTCTGCACAGGGAGTTGTAAACTGGTCGTAGTGTTTGTGCAGGCCTGGATGAATCAGCCTCAATAAAACCTCTTTCCTGCCTCCCTTTGTTGGCCTGTTTGAAGCTTAAGGACACACAGGCAGGCATGCATGCCACCTGTTACTCTGCAGAGTGACTCAGTCACTTTTAGGGAAAGTTATGACACCCAGTATATGAGCTGCTGCTTTTAAACGGTGCATTATGAAGACTGCAGATTGTTTTTGAACATTTCACTTTGTTTTTTTTAGTCCAAAAATCACATGTTGTTTTTCTCCACTATCCAGAAAAAGACCTGAAAACCAAATGTGTGGTGGAGATTGATGGGAACCAGACAGTCCTGCATCCAGCCGTCACTAGTATGAACACAGCAGACCCCCGGTAAGCTGTTACATGGAAGAAAGTAGTCGTGAGTTTGAAGCCAACCTGTTTAAATTTCAGACACTTTGTGGTTGAGTTTTTCTCCTTTGTTCCACTTTCACCACAACATCTACTCCTGCTTTGATCCTGTCCACAGTGGAGCCTCCCTGGTTAGCCAATCAGTTTCTTTGTCAGGAAACATTGTTGAGCAGACGTGTCGGCTTGAGTCACGTTGCTGCGGATCATCAATCTGATGACATCACACTTGACAAAGTAAACTTTAGTTAAGCAGCACGCCACAGCTTGTTTAGCTGTGTTTCAGACGTGCACCGGTGTTGGTGGCTGGAGCATGACCTGGAGCTTGACCATAGGTGTGCTTCAGAACGTGTTAAATTGAACTTTGCAGCATGGATCTAATAAACTCTGGTTTTTCTGTAGACTGATGACAGCTACTAAATCTTTGGCTATGATTCAGAGCTGCAATTCCTTTGCTACTTCCTACCGTGCGATGTCGCTGTCATGATAGCCGCTGAAGAACATTCGGAGATTTAGGTTTGCGTCTGGTCCTTTGTTGGATAAGTATTTACCAAGACAGACATTGTCTCAGTGAATCAGCACCATACACACACAGCTTCCAGGTCAGAAATGTGAGGCCAGTGCAAAAGTGGTGAGCAGGGGGTCTACAAGCTCTGTAAACCGTTTCCTGTTTCCGTGAGTATTGACACAGCATCGTGGACGTGGTTCCATGACGTGAGATGGTTGAAAGGCTGCCGTACCAGGTTTTCAGCTCCTCGGTCACATTGACTCTTCACCTGTGATACTTGGTCTTTCATGCTGCATTTCTATTGGTTGGTTTGCTTAGGCTGCTGCCCCCGCGACCCGGCCCCGGACAAAGCAGATGAAAATGGATGGATGGATGGTTTGTAGAAGCAGAAGTTGTAATGTGTCAGTGTGATGACCAAAATCACATTCAGATGCACTCACCGATACAGCCACCTACATGTCTTACACTGACCTCTCTGCGTGACCTCCGCGGGGTCACAAAGCCACTGCGGTAGCTGCAACTTTTTTGCGCCACAAGCAACGATATCCTGATATCATGCTATCAGGGTAAGACCATGACATCATCAGGCCCTCTGCCTTACACAACAACACTCTTCTCCTCATCGCTGCAACATTTTAATGACTATCTCTCCTTTTTATGAGCAGCTATTTGCATTGGACAAGTGCAGACAGTTCAGTGAGATTCCTGGCTGTGAGTGTGCTGTAATATGTGTACAATAGCAGGACTGACTGTATCACAGATTCACTCATTTAGTTACCGTCAGGTGAGTTTGGAGAGAATCTAACCAGCTTTTCAGGTTGGCGCCCAGTCGTTTGGAAAAGGGCTCAAATCTAGAACTCCACCCACCCTCCGTGGAAATCTCCCTCTGGCTCTTCTGCATCGTTACTCTTTACAAAGGGCGTGTGTCCCGGCTCAGCCCTGCGCAGGTAGTTTGACACACATTTGAAGGAGCAGGAAGAAGCAAAGGGAAATGGTGTCGGAGTTTTCTGTAACTCCAGTCGCGTTTATGATGTCACACTGGTGCAGCGCGTTGCTGTGCACACACAAAGCTGTATTTGTTTTGATGGCCGATCCTCCTCCTCGTGTTGCAGTGAGCCAGATACTGAGTGGTGCAGGGAGATGTTCCCTGGAGGTCCTGGCCCTCGTTCAGGTTCCCTGTTCAGCATGTAACTGTGCCTTAGGGCAAACATGGACTAAATGAATCACTGCCTTTGTAAGGAGGTTCGAGTCTCATATTTCACTGTGATTCTTTGCATTTTTTCATGCGTGTGTATCCGTGTTTCTTCTGTCCTGACACGCTTCAGCGGCGCTGCGTTTCCCCATTTGGGGCTCGGTATGAACACGTTTTACAGGCTCAGTGCGGCACAGATGGTCCCAGACCAGCACAGAGGTCAGACGGGAACGGTGGAGGTGGTAAACTCATCTGTAACTCATGATAGTTCGATTTTACATTAACAAACTAACAAGAATCAACAGTGTTGTTACTATAGAAGAGAATTTTATTCTTCCTAATGGAAGGCGTGACCGAATTTATCCAGTCGGTAAATTTGGTCTTTACGAAGCTTTAGCATTTCACATAATCTTCTCACGTGTCGCCGACTTCTCCAAAACCTTCCTGCCGACTGGAGTTAAACTGCTTTTTTGGCCTCTGTGGCACAAGCTGGTCTCCAGTCCTACCACTGCTGTCTCAATGGGACGTTACAAACGCTGCAGTCATTGCAGTGTGACGCTACAATACGTTGGATTGTGACGCACAACCTGACGTTCAGCCTGGTGCTTAATCGCACTGTCAAATGTACAAATGCACACGATTGTTGGATTTGTATAAAATATCTGTATAACTCAGATGTTGGCACTCACAGGGTGTTCATGCAAAGGTTGATCATGATTGGTCAGCTCCTGTAGGAGGGAACACATGCTACCATCATTACACAGCAGGATCATAATATGAATTCATAATAAAGAGGGTGTAGGCGATAATAGCGGCAGACCGACGTCATCGGCTGATTTGATCATATTAGCCACTTGCAGGTGTTTTGCTATCAGCGTCTCTAACAGACGGTTCTGTGTGCCGATTGTTTTGTGTGCATTTCGTGTTCAGCCAAAGTGGAAAGCAGAAGGCATCTGTGTCTGTAGTACTGCAGTTCCCCTGTCTGCTGTGAAGAGGACGGCCTCTTCTGTAAAGTTTGTGCTTAGTCAGCTCACTGCCTGATGGTTCAGCTGCTTCAGGGGGTGTTAATATGTCCCAGCACCCTGGGAGGCTGCAGCCCAGCAGGGCCTGTCAGGTTAATGAAGCCCTGTTCCTGCTTTACCCTCCTAGGACCTGTGGATGTCACATTTTGGGTTATTTAGACCAAAATACTAAGTCTTGCTCTTCAAAGGCCTGATATCCACTTACGAGGACATTATGCTGCTACTGTTCTATCGAAATTTTAAATTGATATCCTCATATGGCTCTGATTTTTCTTAGAAACACAAATTAGGTAAAAAAAACCAAAACCTGGTGATTTCTTTGTTTTTACGTTCATCAGGTGCCAATCAGCCCAAATATCAAAGAGAAATGAAAAATGCTGCTGTGGAAGAGTTCAGGACTCCAACAGTTATTTTCATGAATTTCCTCGGATGCTCTAAGAGAACATTTAATATATAAGAAAATGCCCTGGGATGGATTTTAAAATGTCAAACTTCATGATAACATTTAATTTTATGTCTTCACTATGACGTCTCCATTTTTTTGATTTGAAAATCACTGGTTGTATAAAGCCAGACTTTGTTGATCACAGACTTGCTGACCTACTGTCGTCCTGCTTTAGTGATTCCAGTTATCTCAGGAATGTCCTCACCGTCCCAGGAGAGCGGGACTAAAGGCTGTTCTTTCATGGACCAGCCCAGTCTCACACAGGGAGGCCTTGTTTCGTGTGTGTGTGTGTGTGTGTGTGAGCGAAACCTTTACTTTTAGTGACTCAGTGTGGCTGAAAATGCTGCCATATTATTGCATGTCAGACTTGTGTGTTGTCAGTGTTTGCGTTGTTTTGCTTGTACAGGGTTAGTTTGATTGTGCTGTTATATGATTGGCTTTTGCTTCCTCCTGTGTGGGGGCACTTGTGCTCCCTGGAATATGACGCTCACGCTTTGGTTTTGAGTGCAGTGAGCAGTTTGGTGGTTGTTGTATTTGAGCTCGCGTGTCTGGCAGATGGGGGCAGCGTCACGTCTGAGCCGGAGTCCTGATGTAGCTTGAGCTTTGCCTTAAAGCCCACCGCATCCTGTTCGTTCAGCTGACCGTCCACACACCCGCCTCTGCCCCAGAGTGCTCAGCAGCTCCCCAGCGTGGAGCTCATTGAGCTCAGCCTTGAAGATACCATCTGCACCGAACTTCCTCTTCTTGGAGATCTGCACAGCCGTCTTCCATCCGGCTGCAGACAGGAAAGCCTCAAGTTTCCTTCAGTCCTGCTGCTTTTCTGCTTCCTCAGAAAAACAGCACAAGTGGAAAAGCCAGTATGGAAGCTCTTCAACTGACATCAGCCTGAATGTTTCACAGCCTGGAGCACAAACCCATTCAAAGATGTTGTCAGCCTGTTTCTAGTAAGACAATAACAGGAAGCAGATAGAAACCGATTTTGTGTTTTTAGCACTTGGTTGCAGGAAAAACAAGCTTTTAAAGTAGACTCTTGTGTTTCTCTGTAACACACATCCGTGCATACACACTCAGTGGATGTTTATTAAACGCGACCAAAGGTTCGAACGAGGTCAGTTCATGTGTGCGTGTGCACGTGTACGTGTGTGTTTGTGGTCAAAGATTTTACTGAGAAATATGACAAATAAGTTTAAATATCAGTAACAATATTATTTCTTCTTTTCTGTCTCCAGGAATCAGCCCAAGGTAAATATGATGAGTTATTAATCACACATTTATGGTGTGCACATTACAGACGTGTGTCGCATCTTTTCTGCAGGTCTTTGCGTACGACTACTGTTTCTGGTCTATGGACGACTCTCAGAAAGACAAGTTTGCAGGTTGGTACATTTTCACAGAGGTTCATGTCAGTGTGTTCAAACGTGTCTCCTGACAGTGTTTCCTGATGCGCTGAGCTATTTATGGAGCTGAGAAAGCGGCCGTGGGGGGGCTGGGATGAAGGGGTTACACACTGCGTCACACTGGTTGTGGCTCAGTCTGAAAACAGCGAAATTATTCTTCCTGTCGTCTCGTTCGTGTTAAAAGTTTGTAGCTCATCAGCTTCGTTTGTGTCTGATTCCAGCAGTTAGTCTGAGTTTTGTGTGCAGGTCAGGACGTGGTGTTCCAGTGCCTCGGGGAGAGTCTGCTGGACAATGCCTTCATGGGCTACAACGCCTGCATCTTTGCTTACGGGCAGACGGGTAACATTTCAGAACAACAACTTTAAAATGAGTAAAGAGGAACTGCACATCCTACCGCAGCATCACATGTTTCCATTTGTCCTCCTACGTCAGGTTTGAATGAAGCGAGTCAGGATTTGACTGTTTGTGACTTTTAGTTCTCAGTAGTTTGGGTCACAGTCACTGCAAAACTGTGTTTCTGTGCTCCACAGCGCAGTAAGCTGTTTCACACTGTTTCTGTCTGAATGCCGAGTGTTTCCTGACCCACGTGGGTACTGATCTGTTGTTGCGCTGCACATATTGGCTCTGGAGGAAAGAGCTGGCACAGTCCATCTTACTATCACGGCACGCTCTGCCTGTTTAAGCAGAAGCAGCACTTGGTGTCTTCGACTTCATACGTGATGAAGTAATGATGCCGTGGCTGATCTTGTCAGGACGCCATCTTCTTTGCCATTTTTCCATCTGCTGAACCGAAACAAGTAGATTAACTTTTGATTGATGGGCAGATGCAGGTTCGGGCAGGTCAGCCCCTCCCTGCCCACAGCTCCCATAAGCCTCGTCTGTCAAACAGCTGCAGGGTGCAACATAAGCCTGGCCCAGCAGTCCCCTCTTCGTGATTACAAATGAATAACATGGGATGCTGTTTGAGACCCTCACACTCACGTCAGACATGAAGCGCTCTCACCTGGCTCTAGTTTGGCAGCTTCTTTTATTCCAGCTGAATTTTCCTAAATGAATTAAGTTTGTTATGATCCTGGATACAAGCATTAGCTGCAGCGCTCTGTGTTAAATGATCAGTGATTCGTTCTGTCTCTCACTGGCGTCTGGATCGTTTATCTTCAGGTTCTGGGAAGTCGTACACCATGATGGGCTCGTCAGAGCAGCCCGGTCTTATCCCTCGACTCTGCAGCTCGCTGTTCAGCAGGACTGAGAAGGAGGCCCGTGAAGGGGAGAGCTTCACTGTGGAGGTGTCCTACATGGAGATTTACAACGAGAAGGTCCGAGACCTGCTCGACCCGAAGGGGTGAGATGCTGAGAGCCTCGCTCGTCATTCTGCTGGGATGTTGGAATAACATGAAACATTCAGGGTCCCTGAACAAGTCCAGGCAGCTGAAGGACTCAAAGCTGTGACCGTCTCCTTATTTCTGCAGAAGCCGACAAGCGCTGAGAGTCAGAGAGCACAAAGTTTTGGGGCCTTACGTGGACGGTCTCTCCCGTCTGGCTGTGACCAGCTACGAGGTAAACCAGCTGTTTCTTTCTTTATCGCATCGGGTTTCCGAGGACCAGGAAGTAATAACGCTGGCTGCAGACGGCGCGTGTGTTTGTTGGTGTTCAACAGGACATCGAGTCTCTGATGTCAGAGGGAAATAAGTCTCGCACGGTGGCGGCCACAAACATGAATGAGGAGAGCAGCAGGTCGCACGCCGTGTTCAACATCATCCTCACGCACACGCTCATGGACCTGCGGTCTGGGGTAAGGACACGCTCGCATGTGCACGCCGTCTCTCTGTGCAGCTGATTATTTTTCAGTTATTGGCTCGAGTGTTAATGAAATGTGTCTGAACTCAAGGGGACTCGTTTCGTCTTATTCAAAGTCCCAACATGCAACACTGAGAAGCAGCTGATCCTCACATTGATGTTAGTCGACCAGCCAGACCTGCATCGCACTGTGCAAAAGTCTTGAGCCAGCCCTCGTGTTTTCATATTTGACTTTCTTTGACAGCGGTCAGGTACCAGGACCGGACTCGAAGAGTGACGCAAACATCTGGAGGAATTTATTTCTTTATTTATTGTGTTGTTAAGCAACACTGACCTACTATGAAGTATAAACACTCAAACCTGTCGGTGTCTGTTGGCACTTTGCTGTTAGCATTCTGTCACAAAAACATCATGTGTCCAGTTTTTCAGTTACATCTATAAAAAAGGTATAAAATAATAATTGGCGTCAACATTTGCGATACCCAGATGTGTTTTATTCGTCTTTTGTCTGTGAATCGCTGCTTCCGTTGAGTCGTTCTCATTCAAAAGCTATGAGAGATTCTAGCTCGATGAGCTCCTGTGCGGCGCCGTGTGTTTGCTGCAGACGAGCGGGGAGAAGGTGAGCAAGCTGAGTCTGGTGGATCTGGCTGGAAGCGAGCGGGCAGCGAAGACTGGAGCTGCAGGGGAGCGGCTCAAAGAAGGCAGCAACATCAACAAGTGAGTGCGCATAAAATAAAGCTGTGATACTGACAGTCGAGACAGTTTCACTGCCTGCTGCTGTTTGTCTTCAGTCTAGAGCCGAGTGTCCGCCTCGAGGTTTTAGATGATGAGCCAACACAGCTGATTTAAACGGCTAAATGACCTCCTCAGCATGTTGTGTAGTTCTCCACAGGCCTGGTAATGACCTAATCAGGTGTGCTGACCCAGGGTGTACACCGGCCTCGAGGCCTGGAGCTCCCCACCTCGGCTGTAGAGCCTCCAGACACCCGTGTTTGTTTGAAGTTATTGGAAACTTCTTGTTTCTCTGCATCTCTGAGCATCTCTAGTGCTAAACAGTTCTGATGTGTGTAGCCTGCTATTGGGTCACCAGTGTGAACGCCCCTGAACAGGAAGCATATTTTAGTTTCTGCAATTAAAGATGTTTTGCAGAAGCGCATCGGCGTCCGGCTAACAAACCGACAGGAGCGGTCTTTGAGTCGGTGCTTCACTCAGTCGTTTGAAGCTGAGATTGTTCAGGTGTGGACTTCTAATCTTAGCATCACAAGCCCTTTCTCTGGCCCTCCCTGCAGATCTCTCAGCACTCTGGGTTTAGTCATCTCTGCCTTGGCTGACCACGGAGCAGGGAAGAACAAGAGCAAGTTTGTCCCCTACAGAGACTCTGTGCTCACCTGGCTGCTCAAGGTACAAGAAAGGAACTTTGTTTTCAAGTATGCAGCCTCAGATCGCACTGCAAACTCACATCGGAGGATTTCTTTTGCCTCAAATGAATAAATTTTGTGACGTTTCAAGGCTCTGCTGTTTGTTTCATTAGTTCTGCTCAGTTTGAAAAAGGCTCCATTTGCCAGCTTTGGGTGTTTAATTTGGCTCCAGATAGCATTGTAATGGTGTGAAACGTTGTTTCCCCAACATCCTAGATTTCAGCTGCGTGCTCATGAGTCATTGTGCTTAATTATATTACTGTAATGCTCAGAGTTTAAGGTGATGTTCGTACCTGCAGGACAGCCTCGGAGGGAACAGTCGCACCGCCATGGTGGCCACTATCAGCCCAGCAGCAGACAACTACGACGAGACGCTGTCCACTCTTCGTTACGCCGACCGGGCCAAGAACATCGTCAACCACGCCGTGGTGAACGAAGACCCCAACGCAAGGATCATCCGCGAGCTACGAGAGGAAGTGGAGAAGCTGAAGGAGCAGCTCACCGAGGCGGAGGTTTGGCCTCGTTCAGCCTGCGACTGATCAGTGAGCATTATGGGTAATAATCCACACACGTCCAGAGTCTAATGAAGCTGCTGTCACTCTCAGTCTATGAAGGCCCCCGAGCTCAAGGAGCGACTGGAGGAGTCGGAGAAACTGATCCAAGATATGACGGTCACCTGGGAGGACAAACTTAGGAAAACGGAGGCCATTGCACAGGTAGCAACACACAAACACACAAGACCGCATCCAAAACACGTCACCGTGGCTTTCTGATAGCGTGTAAATCCTCAGTGTTTGGAGTTATCAGCTAACGCTCGAAGGCTTTGACAGGAAGGTGTAAACACTGTTAAACTACAAACTAATTAAATTATGGGATTTCACCAACGCTGAGACGGACAGTACTGCACGCACGGCCGTGCTGTTGGTCACATCATTCTATAAACTGGGCCAAAAGACACCAACAGCACAGCTAAGAGGGTTAGCAACTTCAGTCAGCTGTTTGTCACCTCACTGGGAGAGGGTTGCATCCAACCTCTACGTGTTACTAGTATTCAAATGGATGAGGTAAAAAATGCATTCAGCCACTGTGCAGCGGTTTGAAATGAACTGAAAGCATCCATAAGTGGTGGTAGTGATGGTGACGCTGTCATTGTACCAGCCCGTAGACCTGCAGCCTCAAGTGGCCGTTAGAGGAACTGCAGCTCAACGCTTCAGCTTAGCTTCAGTTTTCAGGACACGCTGAATACGTTATTTTTCCATCTCTATCCAGAGGAATATATTTTTAAAAACTCTCTTTGAACTCAGAATCAATTCATTTATTGAGCTGACGCATGTCATCAGTCTTTTGTTTTGTTCATGATGGAGATTGTTTAGTATCCCAGCCACTTCTCTTTTCTTCCATCAAGCAGCTCCAGTTAGTTCCTGTGTTGAACGTGACGTGTGTTCTCTGCAGGAGCGTCAGAGGCAGTTGGAGAGCCTGGGCATTTCTCTGCAGTCGTCTGGTATCCGAGTGGTCGAAGATAAGTGCTATCTGGTCAACCTCAACGCTGACCCTGCCCTCAACGAGCTGCTGGTCTACTACCTAAAAGTACCGAGAACTCACCATCCATCCTAAATACATCGAGTTGCTGCCATTTGATTGGTTGATTAGATGTTTGCATTAACAAACAGCAGATGTGCTCAGGTGCAGCTGTTTTGCTTGTGTTAGTATTCAGATTGTTAAGTGACCGTTGTCCTGTATCCAGGATCACACGCGCGTGGGTTCAGCCGACTCACAGGACATCCAGCTGTGTGGGATGGCCATCCAAGCAGAACACTGTGTCATTGACGTCACAGAGAGCCACGGCGTGGTGCTCACTCCTCACCGCAATGCTAAGTATGTAGCTAGCCCGTGACAAACGATACTGCAGAAGACCGGCTCATTGCGATGCTCACAAAGCTGCGTTCAGTTTGAATTGGATGGCAGGTCAATCTCACAGCTGCAGACAACACTTTCCTGCAAAGTGCCTCAAATGTTAGCAGCAATGACGAGCACTGTGGAGCTGCCACCAAGCACTTTGGTGACAGCAGCTGTGTTCTGTTGCTTCATATTTTTCCAGTGTGATTGTTTCCGTCCATGTTGGTTATTGATCACATGCAGCAAACTCCGGTGATATGGACTGCCTACATTTGGCAACCCTGCGTTGATTTTAGTTCAATCTGCATTTGTGTGACTGCTGATGTCAGACTGAGTGAATCCATCTAAGGAAAAGATGCCCTGGGTTTGCTCCACGTGCTTTGTAGTAGAGCACCAGGATGCACCAGCCCGACTAAAATAAAATGTTTTTATGAGTTGAATCAGAGCCGTGTGCTCTAATAATGATGCAACAACCTAAAACTATACTTAATATTTTTGGGAGAGTTCATTTGTTTCTGTAGATGCACATCAAATGTTTGCTTTGTGCTTTCTCTGCAGAACGTACGTGAACGGCACCGAGGTCGTGAATCCCGTGCAGCTTCACCATGGCGACAGGATCCTGTGGGGGAACAACCACTTTTTCAGGTGTGCGTTTGAACCTGGATCTGCGGCGTCGTATTTCTCACGCCGACATTTGTTACATGTGGTAACAAAGTGTTTCTCTTTCACTCTGCGGCGCTTCCTCTTTGTCCGACTCGCTCTTTCCTCTGTGCGAATCAACACGCGAGCACAGGATCAACCTGCCCAGGCAAAAGGTGCAAAAGGGGGGCGAGGAAGAGGAGGATGCCGCGATGACAAAGCGTTCGAGCAGCGACTGTCTGGAGGTCGGCGAGCCGGACGCGTGCAGCGACGTGTCGAGCGAGAGGAGCTTCGGCTACGAGTTCGCCCAGGCCGAGGTCATGATGAAAGGCATGTGGAACAACGGTGAGTCAGAGTAACGGGGGGCGAACGCTTTTTCAAAATGTTGCCTTCAAATCGTAACATTGTTGTCAATGATCAGCCATCTGTCAGATGAGCTAATAAAAGATGTTTGTTTTTTCATTTTTTTAAAAATTCTTTTTTATTTTTTGACCTAAAAGGAGAAAAAATCTTGGAGCGTTTTGTTGATACCCTCACTTCAAGCTTGGCAGGTGTGCTGCTGGGAAATGGAGTGAATGCAGAGTTTGAATGTAAAAATATAAATAATGTGAAGAACAGCCAGAGTCAGACACAGTAATGTGCCCTCACTGTCTTACTGGAAGCCAAAGCAGTTCTGACAGGCTTTGATCTGTTAGTGGGGTCGATTTGGTTTGAGGTTTATCAGCGTTTGTGTGTCTGCAATGCTTCCAGCCACTGACTCTCACACTCACACCTACAGTGTCTCTAATAGAAAGCCAGAATAATCAGTGTCTTCTCAATTATCCTCCCCGTGTCCTCCTGCAGACCCGTTGCAGTCAGTGTTGCAGACCCTGGAGAAGCAGCACCAGGAGGAGAAGCGCTGTGCTCTGGAGCGCCAGAGGCAGATGTATGAACAGGAGCTGCAGCAGCTCCGCCAGCGAGTCACCCCCGAGAAACCATCGGGCGTCCCAGGCAGTGCTACTGCAGCCGTGTTGTCAGCCGGCTCGAACAAACGTGTGCGTCGCTGGAGCGAGGACAGGTGGCGCTGTTCTCTCTGTCGGATAGGTCCCCAAAGAAGAAATCCAGGAGCCTCTGCACAGCGTGGCTGACTGTCATCGTGTCTTTGTGTTACAGAGAGGCCATGATAACCCGCAGCCTGCGACGACTTAAAGAGCAGATCGTTCGGGCTAGGCTGTTGGCTCAGGAGGCCGGCTTCATTGCTGAGGAGCTCAACAAAAGGACGGAGTATCTGGTCACTCTGCAGATCCCGGCCGCCAACCTGGACGCCAACAGAAAGGTACAGCAGGGTGACGTCTGCTTTAAAACAAACGTGGTACCTGTTAAAGAGAAGGTGACGATAAAGGCTTCACAGTTCGGTCGCAGCAACATTTGATGAGGAAAAGTGTTGAAATGATGTTTCAGTCCTCTTGGATTGAACTCGTAGCCGACTGTGGATGGAAATGCTGACAGGGGCACGTTTGTTAAAGCCATTTTTGGTTTTCTTGTCGCCGCAGCGCGATGCAGTGCTGAGCGAGCCGGCCATCCAGGTGCGGCGTAAAGGTAAAGGGAAGCAGATCTGGGCTCTGGAGAAGATGGAGAACAGGCTGGTGGACATGAGGGAGCTCTACCAGGAGTGGAAGGAGCTGGACGAAGACAATCCAGTGAGTGGAGACACGAACTAGAACGCCCACAAATAGGACGCAGCATGCATCAAACTGATGAAAGCCACGCAGCAGGAACGCTCATTAGTCAGAGCGTTTGTGGGAAAGCTGGGAACAAAAAAACATAACATGTGAGACTGAGAAATATAAATGTTTTTGTTTTTTGAATTTGCTGACAACAGCAGACTACATGAAAGTTGTGATTGAGGTTAAAGTTGTAACTGCCACTAAGTGGAACGTCTCGTAAGGTAACAATAAGCTGAGTATTAGAGCCTGCGGCTCGCTCTGCTGTCAGTGTGACAGCGCAGGCCAGTGGTGTCCAACTCCAGCCCTCGAGGGCCGCAGTCCTGCAGGTTTTAGGTGTCCTTGATCCAACAGGCTGATTTAAAGGCTGAATGACCTCCTCAACATGTCCTGAAGTTCTCCAGAGGCCTGGGAATGAACTAATCAGGTGTGTTGACCCAGGGCGAGATCTAAAAGCTGAAGGACACCTCAGGTGTTGGCTAAGCCTGGTGTAGGCAGCTTAAGGGAGCAAATCTTTCACTCAGTTTGTTGGAGTGAAATGAAACAGGAGCTCCCCCAGAAAAAGAAGAACGGGGGTAAGAGCAGGTTGGTGTTTTGATCTGCAGTTCGTCCAGTCTGCATGTTGAGTGGTTTTCTCTCTCTGTGATTGGTGCACCTGTGTGCAGATGTTTGGGTGGATGAGGGATTATACGTTCTCACTAACTCTTGCTTCCTTTTTCCCCGATCGAGGTGATGCGCTCCTATTTCAAACGTGCTGACCCCTTTTTCGATGAGCAAGAGAATCACAGCCTGATCGGTGTGGCCAATGTCTTCCTGGCCTGTTTGTTCTACGACGTCAAACTGCAGTACGCGGTGCCCATCATCAACCAGAAGGGAGAGGTACGATTGTTTTGGCTTTACGCCGGCATCTCGCCGCCTCGTTTTCAGCCACAGCGGCCATGTTTTTCCCTCTGATGAACTGGAGAAGTGTGAACTTACCTGCACGGCACCAAACGGACAGTTAGCAGCTAGCTGATGGTGCTGAAATGCCCGTGTGTGTTTCAGGTGGCAGGTCGGCTTCACATCGAAGTGTGGCGTGGTACAGAGAGCTGTGAAGAGGAAGGTGGAGGCGGTCCTGACAAGCAGCTGAGCAGCACAGATGGAGATCCACATGAGCGCAGACTCCGCTGCGTGGTGAGAGGATTTCAGTTTCTTTAACAGGTCCAGCTCTGCAGAAACCCAGCGTGCCCCTCCGAAACGCTGCTAGTCATAATGCCTCCTCTGCAGGACACGAAGTCATAATCCTGCCTGTTGTAGGTCTCCACTTAAAGCGAGCGTTTCTGCCCCGTATGATGGAGCTGGATGCGCTCGTGTGAAGTGCGGCAGGTTTACTTAACTTTAGCTTGTCAAAGGAGCTTGCAAAGAAAAGCGTCTGGACTTAAGTTGCTTGAAGACGTTTCACCTCTCGTCCGAGAAGCTTCTTCAGTTCTAAGGTCACATGGTGGAGAGTCCCAGATATAAACCTAGTGGGAGTTTCCCCCCACAGAGGGACAAAAGGACCCCTGATGATCCTCTAATGCCTGAGCCAAGGTGTGAAACTGGGTGTGGGTCCCAATCAGCCAGAGTTTCAGGTGAGCTCATTGTGAAACCTGGCCCCACCTTATCATGTGATGTCCTGAGGTCAGATGGCCCAGGATGTGAGTGGGCGTTAAGGCGTCTGGGGAGGATCTCAAAACTGGTTATAGATGGCAGAGAGTTGGTGTCGTAAGCCCCGCCTCTGTTCAAAGATGGTCGCTCACAGTGGACATAGATGCTTCTTTCACTCCTCTTTCAAACCATCTGTCCTCTCTGTCCAAAATGTGAACATTGGCATCCTCGAAAGAGTGACCTTTGACCTTTAGATGCAGATGGACTGCTGAGTCTTGTCCTGTGGAGGTGGCTCTTCTGTGTTGTGCCATGCGCTTGTGAAGTGGCTGTTTGGTCTCTCCGATGTAGAGGTCTGAGCATTCCTCGCTGCACTGTACAGCAAACACCACATTGTTAAGTTTGTGTTTTGAAGTTTTGTCTTTGTGATGAACCAGCTTGTGTCTGAGCGTGTTGCTGGGTCTGAAATGCACCGGGATGCTTGGAGAAAACTGCTGAGTTTCATGGGGATGACAATGTTGTCTGTTTGACCTTAGAACTGAAGAAGCTTCTCGGATGAGAGGTGAAACGTCTTCAAGCAACTTAAAGAAGTCCAGACGCTTTTCTTTGCAAGCTCCTTTGACTACGATGACCTGGATGACTGAGAACCTTCACAGACTTAACTTTAGCTTAACTGCCTTCTGGTTGTGTTTTGTCGTTGTGGGAAAAAGTCCTTTTCCCTCTGAGGTGCATTTCTGCTCATCCTAGGTGAAAATCCTCCAGGCCACCGGGCTTCCTCGCCACCTGTCCAACTTTGTCTTCTGCCAGTATCGCTTCTGGGCGCAGGAGGAGCCGGTGTTCACCGCTCCAGAGGTGGCCTCTTCCAGCTCGGCGTCCGCCTCCAGAGACCCTCAGTGTACTGTAGTGTTTGACAGCACCAAGGTGGAGCGTTTCTGTGGTTAAGTAAAAGTTGTGATCAGCAGGTGAGTTGTCACTAACAGAAAACGTGCCTCGTGTCATCTTCAGGAATTATCTGTGCCGGTATCGGAAGATTTTGTGGAATTTCTGGCTGAGGGGGCGGTGGCCATCGAAGTGTATGGTCACAAACAGGCTAACCATCGCAGGAATCTGGCACTGTGGGACCTGGGAGTGATCCAAGCCAAGACCAGATCCCTCAGAGAGAGGTGCATCAGTACGAGCGCATCTGCAGCAAATAAACTTCAGTAATCTGAAAAGGGAGATTTGAGAAGCATGAACACAAGAAGACATCAAAATTGGAGCAGATGGTGGCATTTCATTGGAATATGTTTATACTTTATATGTAATATTTATTTTATATGAGCCAAATTAAGTGAGTTCAGATCCACCACCCTGAGCTCCCCCTGAGTAAGGTACCGTCCCTGCGCCGGCACCCACTGCTTCACTGAGTGATTGGCTTCAATGCAGAGAGGAGTCCCACCCACAGGGATTCATAACGTATACGAAGGAGAAAAGTGTTTACAGAGGTCAGAACAGGAAGTCATCATCTCATTGACTGCAGGGAGAGCTTTTGCAACCACAGCTGTCGCCACCTGCTGGCCTTCAGATAGAATGCACCGATCTGGTGCAGCGTCAGCCTTTGAGCACCTTTCTTATGTTCTGTGCTTGTTGCTGTGCACTGATGGTGCGGTCTCTCACAGGTGGAGCGAGGTGACCCGTCAGCTTGAATTGTGGGTGAAGGTGATGGAGCTGAATGAGGCGGGAGAGTTCACAGCTGTAGAAGTTGTTCCTGCTAAAGACGTCCGGACAGGAGGAATCTTCCAGCTCAGACAGGTTGTGT